TAGTCTCATTGAAATCAAGATCTCTTTCTAAACAGAGACCCAAGAATGAAAAACAGTTACAGTCATACATCCAGCTAGTCAATTTCAAGTCAGTTTTATTCATGTATGTGTGCTATTTATTTATGTAGACCAAAGCAAAGTGCTTTACACTCTGTACAGTGTCTAACACCCTCTATCTTTAGACGAATAAAGAGTTTTTCTTCATCCAAAAAAAGAGAAACATGAGAAACAACATACTCTTAGTAACCAGTTTATTAGGTGGATCTAGCTTAAACTGTTACAGTCTACTACAATAGTCCTGAAATAAGTCAGTCAGTCATGTTGAAACAGTTTTAATTCACCTTTATGGTTAATATGTAGACTGTAGTTCATGTTACTGTGTTTATGATAACTAGTCTACCTGTTAGTTAAGTGTATATATGAGATTGAGGGTGGACTAAATCAGCTCTCAGCCTTCAAAATCACCACAAAGATGAATCAACAATTTCTTAATCAATTTCAACAAAATTATAAGCTTAATTAAAATAGAATTTACTAGTTTTAGCTAGATGCACCTGATAAACTGCCAGCTAACTGGATAGTTGAACTGTGTAGTGTAAGGCAGACTACCAATAATCAAGTGATAAGTATTATGTAAATAGAAACAGTTTCAGGAGTCATGAACAACGTCAGATAATAAAGCTTTAACATTTCTGAGGGTAATGAAAGAATCAAGCTTGAGAGCTGGAAGTCCATAAGGTGTGCAGTACCTTAACCAAATTCTGCTAAAGTAACTGCATACCTGGGATATCTAAGGTTCACTAACTATTGGACCCTGTACTGCAGTTACAAAAGAATAAATGACTTGTAACTTAACATTGTATGTTGTGTACTTTTGTGTAATCCGCTCATTATTCATAGATACATGCACAAAACAGGTGCAAATGTATAAAACTGTTGGTTGATAAGTTAATAAAAAAAACACAGTTTGAAACCAAGCGTTCAGTTACCTCTCGGTATCTTTAACACCTTTTCTTGTTTCCAGCGTCAGAAGGGCAGGATGGGCAGGCAGAGGAAGAGGGTGGTGACTGGTGAAGCTGCTCCCCCTCCAAGGAAAGATGAGAAGCCCTCCGCATTTCACCGCAAAGAGAAGAAAAAGAAAGTTGATATTGGCAAAATCTTCATCAACATCTCCATTGGCCTCTGCATATTCAGCCTGATCTGGTTCTTTTACGCCCTCTACATGCGGTCCAGCCTGGCCAAACGGGTGGTGACCTTGCACCCATCACTTCCTGTCCTGGATGCCAATAGCAGCAGTGCCAAGGTTTCTCCGGAGAGGTTCTGGGGCTCATACAGGCCTCAGGTCTACTTCGGCATGAAAACCCGAACTCCCAGTTCGATTGTAACAGGTACAGGAGCTGAAGCTGCCATGTAAATCTGTGGCGAAACAGTTAAAGGAAACCATTTTAAAATATTGTACAGATCAGATTCAATTTGCAAATCTCTTTCATATGAACCACTGAGAGGCCACCAAGATTAATGATGCTGTCATGTAGAGACAAAGGCAGTGAATAATGGATACAGACTGTCACAGTCCCCATAGTGGTGATATGGGTCATGCTGTGTGATATGGACAGAATAAAATAAAACAATATACAGTATTTGACAGATACAGATATTCATATACACTATGTGATATGATACTGTGTCCATATTTTGGCTTTGTTTGCTTTGATGATGAAGCAGGTTGAGGAGCATTGTTTACTCAGATAAACACTGATTTAAAAGATTAAAACCATGAAAAGAGATTATTGTTTCTGAACCTCCATTGATTCTGTGCAGGTCAGAGTTTTATTGCTAAGATAATAGATACAAAGCAAAACAAATCTAGGAACATTTCCATTTTATGGAATGGTGCAGCCATAAGAAAACATGGAGCCTTGGGTTTGAACATTTCTCTCAGTGTAAACATCGTATAGCTTCAATGAATTGGAATCTAGAAACTACTTCAGAAGAAATAAAAGGGGAAAGATGGATGGAAGGTGTCACTATATAACCAAAATCCCAAACAGCTAGTACAGTTTCATATTTAGTTTTTACAAAAATACTTGTTGTTTAATTGCACTGGATCAGAGACAGGGTGGGAAACAAGCCCAGGCACTTGTCAAATTCAAGTAAGTTTTGGCCACAGTTCCTAGGACTGTTTACGCTGTCAACTACTTTGGATGACCAATATTGTTAATTAGTTGACAGCAAAACGTGGACTACATTTTCCAATGTTGAGTAACAACACATAACTAAACACTGCTGTTCTCGGAACCCAGTTGGCTGGTAACTCGGTGCGTGTAGCCAGTGAGTTTTGTGACTTACCTTTTATGTGAAACTGTTGACTGTTTATTTCCAAATTATACATTTGTGCATACTTTGTGCTGTACTACCAAATCTGTTTACTTTGATTGTCATCTCCCCAGGCATGATGTGGATGCGTCAGTTTTCTGACATGGATGTAAACCTGAGGCACACTTGTGAGCAAGGGGATCGTTTGCATGGCTACGGCTGGCTGATGCATGATGGGATCACCTTTGGAGTCCAGGAAATCCGAGACAATGATTTCACACTAACCACGGAGTTTGTCAAGAGGATGGGAGGGGATCATGGAGGAGACTGGACCTGGAGGATCACTGCCAAACAGCATGTGAGTACTGACTCCTAGCCTAATGTAGCTAAATGTATTTTGTGTGGTTAAAAATGTACCATTTATTTAAAGCAATTGCAGTTACTGCCTATGTTTAATGATTTCTATTTGTACCCACCAGAGCTCTGCCCCTCAAGCGCCAGTCATCTCCCTGATGTTTTACGCAGCAGCAGACACACAGGGCACACTGGAGGCTCACGTTGAGGAGAGAAACCGCCTCGCATCCGTCGCTGGTTTCTCAGAGGAGCTTGGAAACTTTAAGATCACTTTCCGAAAGCCTGTTACCGGGGAATTATCCAGTGCCAAATATGCCAGGTAAATGCATGAATACAGGAGTGAATGGTAAAGTCAGCAGCAGTTTCAAAAGAGAGTGATCAAGGATAAGTGAGCTGGAGCTGTAGAATGACTGCCAGTACTCAACTGCATCAGGATTAAAGATATGCAGTGAAAAAACAACAATTGACCCTAAATACTAAATAATG